GTTTTATCATTTCCCCGTCGTTATAAGGCTTCGTTTTTTGTGCAATTATCTGGGACACACGGTACGATGCTTCAGTTGCAGCCTTATTTTTGTCGACTGTTCTTAAAAATATTGATTGTTGTCCAATTAACTGCTTTTTTAACTGTTTCAGTTTCTCCTTTCTGGCGGCAGAATGTAGTGGGAATGATTTTTCAAAATTAGAATGTACAGTTTTATGATGTCTCTCAATATTTCCTTTTTTAGCAACGGAGATCGAAGTATTATATAACAAACACACATTTTTATCTTTAACTTCTGTAAAAAAGTATTGTTCTTCCCATTCCGAATGAAAGTGGTATATCTTTACCTTCTTACAACTGCTTGCCATAATATTATTTTTTGTTGTTCTCTACTAACCCAACCGCTGGACGTTGGTTACGCGTTCAGTTTTAAACAAAGCGCAATGTCGCCGCGCCGTGCGTATTTATCCCGTTCAAAGCAATCCTGATCGTTCTCAAACACTAACGCGCTGGTCCGGCTGGTCGGTTCTAGCTTGATGGCGTCAGCGGCAGATCGTTCACCGCAACGTTGCCGCTGTTTATGTTTAATATTATGACAATTAGATTTTTTTGTGGAATTTTCGGAAGCTTCTCTGATTTTTGCAGTTTGTATTTTTTAAATTAAAATCGTTGTGAGAGCTACCAGAGTTGCCTCCGCGAGCTACCGGTAGCTCGCGATCGACAGGTTGACGACCACTGCTCTATATCATAAAGCTTTAAACTAGCTCTCCTGTAAAATTAGCAAAAAGTGACATATCAGTTTCTGCCTTGTCACCACAGATATACTATACTTTACAAAATTATCTCTGAAATGAGATTCATGAAAACCATATTGTATTAATTACAAAAATTATCTTTGAAGAGATTGATTACCAATATGTGATAGTATCACTTAGAAAATTCATCATGGTCCTTTATGCCGGACATGTGACAGTAGTACTTACAAAATTTATCTTTGAAATCTGCACCGGTCTAGTTCTTTTTATATAGTATTATTAGCTCAAAATTTTATGCTAACACAATTTAATTTCAAAACATAAATAAACAAAAATATTTTGTTGACTGTAAAACGTATACATAAACATCAACACATCTCCTTTAAGGTTATAATTATTCATAATACGCAATTCAACGTTTATAAATTTACGAGGAAGGATTCCAGTCCCAAGATGTTGGCGTAAATTCGCAATTCGGGTTAATTGCCGCAAATAATTTCTGCAGCACATGAAAAGAGGAAAGTAATAAGCCAGAACACCAAAGAATTAAACAAACGACTCCTAGAAGCCTAATAGAAACATCAGAGTCGGCTATAATCCCGGTGTATCTGAAAAGGGACTGATAACAGAAAGAACAAATTGAGACTGTATCCAGGAAACGTGGCCCATAAAATAATGTCCCGGACAGTTATTATGGGTTGTGGCTCAGGTTCTTACGCCAATTGTTAAAAGCATTTTGCCGGTTCATTTCCACTTTCCTCTACTGGTTACTATATTTATTGAACTATTCTTTATACGGAAACTAGATCAGAAATAAATAAAAAAAAAAAAAAAACTACGGAGATTATATTTCACTAGTGTGTCGCAAGTTTCCTTTTGTGTGCGAAAGATTAATTTTCTGGAAATATGAGGTGATAAACTGGTTACGTTATTATAAGATTTTCAAAAAGAAATTTGCACGCCATAATTTTCACAACAAATACTATTAATTAATTGAATTTTCAGTAGATGGCGATTAAAAGCACTTCTGCGTAATTATTCAAATGGTCAATTATCCTCATAAAACACTTGGTTAGTTGCAGGGTTGCCAATCGTACGGTAATTACCGTACTTGTACGGTAATTTCAATTAATGTACGATATATGGTCCAAAGTCATTACCGTACATAAAAGTACGGTATTTACATAAAAAGTACGGTATACGTACGGTATTTTCAACAGAATTAACAAAGACTGAGTTGTGCAAGAAGGACCGACTCCATTAAATTACCTAATAAAGATTAGAATGACATTGTCCAATGTAAAAATGCAGCAGATGTTCTTAAAAACTTCAAAAGGACCTAGTCTGTACAAAAATACAAAAATATAAGCTAATATAAGGCCTTTTTTTAGAAGCTAGGTAAAAGGACCAGACGATGATTAAAATAATATGATGAGGACCTTTTTTTTTTTTTTTTTTAGAAACACGACACGAAGAGTTACACAATATAGTTTTTTTTACAAAATAAAAGTGTACGGTACTGGCAGGCCATGTACGGTAATTTGAATTGCGCGGTACGGTAAATGGAATTTGAAAAGTTGGCAACCCTGGTTAGTTGCTACATATTATAGTTTGTATTATTTTTATTGAGCTCCATGCAAGCCTGCGCCGTACATGAGGACAAAGCAAAAGTAAAAAAAAGATAAAGCAACAAACAACATTGTCAAAACAAAATTTATAATGATAAAAAAAAACAGTAAAGAATTACATTGTTTTTTTTTATTATTTTATTTTTACTCTTTGAGACGAGGGAACCGAATTTCTCGAAAATAATATATTTTCCAAATAAGAGTATGCAATAATAACATTTATTCGATCGAATACGTAACATGATACCATGAATTGTGTAAACTCAAACAAATCTGATTTTATTCATGTTTGAGCTTGAAAGTTGACTTGCAACGTGTCAACGAACGGACAAGCCTTTTTTCCTGTCTGAACTTGTAATGTACGAAACTTCTATATAAATATATTAAGCGCTGCATCGGTCGCGATTTCATTTGTTGCCAGATGCCCGATCGATAATTAACTTAGCGAAGTGAAAAGGTACATGGGGCGAAAGATATCCGTTTTTAAAACTTTAGTTTTTTGTAGTTTTACAGACTTGTATTTTGTGTTGTGAATTAAGGTGAGTTCGTCTAAAATTAATTTTTTATTTTAGATTTATTAAAACAATAAAAGCAAAAAACTTGGATCTCAAAAATCATTTTAGATTTGAATATATCAACATCATTGTTAATAGAAGTAAATTCAAACAGAATAATTGATAAGAACTAATATGCCAGTCCTTTCTAAGGTTCTGGAAAAAATTATGAAGTATCAAATTACTATACACATTAATAAGTATGCATTATTGCCAGCAACTCAATCGGGTTTCAGAAAAGATCATAGTTGTACTACAGCACTTCTAGACATCACAGATAACTTATTAAAGAATATTGACAATGGTAAATCTTCTGCACTCATCCTCCTGGACTATTCAAAAGCTTTTGACACCATCAATCATGAGATCTTGTTAAGTGTTTTATACTTTTGTGGGTTTTCACCAAAAGCTATTGATCTTCTCGGAAATTATCTTCAAAATAGACGGCAGTACGTAGAAACTAATACTGGCTCATCCAATACTAAAATAATTTCTCGAGGAGTGCCACAAGGTTCCATTTTGGGTCCTATCCTCTTTTCTCTTTATTCGGCTAATATTACCAGTTGTCTAGAACACTGCAAGCCATTTTTGTATGCCGACGATACACAATTGATGTATTCTTTTGACCACTTTGATTTTGAAGGAGCACAAGAATTGATAAATTATGATCTTAATTTACTAGCATCTGAATCAACTAGACACGAACTAACCATTAATCCTTCTAAATCAATCGTGCTCTTCTTTGGAAAGTACCGTCGTCAGATGGAGGAGAGAATCAATATTTCTCTAGCTGGTAACGATATTTCGTATTCGAGAACCATAAAAAATTTGGGACTAGATCTAGATACTGAATTAAATTTTAAATCGCAAGTGAACAAGTGTTTAAAAAGAGCCTATTTTAACCTTAAAATGTTATATCCTAATCGACATATTTTTCCTGAAAAACTAAGATTGAGCTCACCGACTCACTAGTGCTTAGTCATTTTAATTACTGCGATAGTGTTTACGGACCTTGCTTAAATAGTACTGAGGAACGCCGAATTCAAAAAGTCCAAAATACCTGTTTGAGGTATGTTTATGGTATTAGAAAGTATGACAGAATATCTCACAAGTTGGCCAGTGCAAAGTGGCTCGATATGAAAAGCAGACGTAAACTCCATGCTGTAACTCTCTTCCATAAAATAATCCTTTTTAAAACTCCCCCATACCTCTACCAAAAGATTACATTCAGAAATGATATACATAATTTAAATGTAAGACATCGTGGCTTGATTTCTCCTCCATTACATCGCACTTCCATCTTCGAGCGATCATTTTCTTTTCAAATATACAATTTATATAATAAAGTTCCCGCAACTATTAAATTATTAAATTTATCAGCCTTTAAAAAGTCGTATAGGAGATTAATTAATTAGACTATAAACCGCTTAGCATTTATGTACTCATCCTCCTTTAAACAAAATATAATTTTGGAATTTGAGACCTGGTGTGTGTCGAGCGAGTGAAATATATATTTTTTATATTTTTTATATATTTTTATTTTTATCTCTTACAATTCAAACATTGTAACTTATAGGTATAAAAACCCTTGTTTAGTTTCTACGTTTGCCGCCGTCTTCGGATAGTCTTCAAGTAGAGAGGATATAAGTACTTAAAACGATTTTAATATTTTAATACTTTTGTTAACTCTTGGGGCTATCCGGGGTTGGCGACTGGCGAACAAAACCATAACCGAGGGCGTCCACTTTGTATCAGTTTTAACTGTCTGGACGTTCTCTTTTTGTATTTGCGTAATTATTTTTTTTTTATTGATGTAATTCTATTGTACACCGTAAATGCAAAATAAACTATTATTATTATTATTATTATTATTATTATTATTATTATTATTATTATTATTATTATATTACTATTTATAAATTTTGAAATAAGTAATGTTGAGTGTAGAACTCCTGACATTATGACGTCACCTTTGCATCTGAACATTAAGATATGTAGCTTTCATGTAATGGTAACGGATGGGGTGACTTTACAGAACAGCTATCGTAGTTGGGTATACACATGATATGTCATCTAATTTATGCAATAAATAGCTACAACATTGGTGACCCCGATGAAAAATGACCGAACACGCAGATGTATCCAAAGTAACTTTCCGCGCCCCACCATTTTGGCCCGAAAAAACAGCTCTTTGGTTTTGTCAACTGGAAAGCCATTTCGTATTAAGTTGCATTTCTAAAGATGAAACAAAGTTTGCTTACGCAGTATCTCAGTTAGAAGAGAGATACGCTGCAGAAGTCGAGGACATCATCACTAATCCTCCAGAAAAAGACAAATATGACGTACTTAAGAAAAAATTGATTCAGAGGCCAATTTTAGAAGAAGAGAAAATTCAAAGGTTATTAGGTCAAGAAGAGCTTGGCGATTTGAAACCTTTACAATTTCTCAGACATTTGCGCAGCCTGGCAGGTAATATTATTTCCGATGCATTCTTACGTACGTTATGGTTAAGTAGATTACCAGCAAATGTAAAAGCAATTCTCGTAACCTGTGCAATTTCTAGAAGTTGTAGCTGAATTAGCAGACAAGATATATGAGACTACTCCATTTGCTCAGGTATAGCTTCTATAGTTAATATTCCAAATGAAATTAATGAGCTCAAACAACAAGTGAGCGAATTAACGAGTAAGATCAATGATTTTATGTCAAAAAAGCTTACTAGAGACCCTAGTAAACGGACTAGTATACGTAGCAGAAGTAACAGTAGAGATGATGTAGCTATTGCTTGTTGGTATCACAGAAGGTTCGCTTCTAAAGCAATAAAATGTATACCTTCTTGTACCTAGCGCTAGACGATATAAACAGGCTGCTTTCAAAGTCAATAGATGACAAAGAAATCGCAATGACCACTTTCTTAGATATTGAAGGAGCTTTCAACAATGCTTCAACCAGGTCAATAACCAAGGCTCTAGAAGAGAGAAAAGTCCCAGTAACAATATGCCAATGGATTACTGCCTGTCTAGAGAACAGGATTATTTTATCCACTCTAGGAAAGGCAACCATATAGGCAAAAGTTACACGGGGCTTCCCACAAGGAGGAATATTATCTCCAATGCTGTGGTCAGTTCTTGTGGACGACTTACTCAAAATATTGTCCAAAGAAGACTACCAGTGCCTAGAATACGAATACAACCTAGCAATTATCGTCAGGGGGCGATTTGCAGGTACAGTTTCGAAGCGACCTCAAACAGCTCTAAACATAGTAAACAACTGGTGCAAAAAGGAACAATTGTCCATTAACGCACAAAAAACAACAGTTGTACCATTCACAAAAAACGGGTACTTACAGTTGTAAGACCACTAGTACTAAACAACACAGTTATCCCATTCGTCACAGAAGCCAAATACCTCGGAGTCATATTTGACCAAAGGCTGACGTGGAATCAACATCTCAAAAAACTCACACATACAACTACAATATCTCTCGTAAGCTGTAGAAGAATATGTAGGAAAAACTGGGGTCTATACCTCAAAATAACTATATATGGTTATACACAAGGGTAATAAGACCCATGATAACCTATGGCGCAGTGGCGTGGTTAACCAAAACTCCGCAGGCAAGTGCAATAGGCCAACTCATTAGCATTCAGCGGCTTGACTGTCTAAGTGCTATTGGGGCCATGTGCACTACGCCGACCGCAGCAATGGAGGTATTAAATCTCACGCCACTGCACATCTTCAAACAAGGAGAATAAAAGAAAAAGAGAGGAAGAACTGGAAAATCATGTCAAAATTACGCATTTTTTTTCAAAACTCAAGTCTACTTTGCCAAACAATAATAATATTAATTCCAAATATTATCCATTATCTTTTATAACCACCTTCATTAGATGGAGGCAGGCGAGGTTCAAGATTGAACAATATCCAACCCCGAATGAGGGAGGCAGTACGTGCCAATTTATATAATTTTTACAATTTAAAATTTTAATTCAACTTATTTAATTTTTTCTGTGGACACATAGTGGTAAGACACCTAGCATTTCTATAAAAACGTTTTGTTATCCTAAATTATTATTGCAGATTGTACCTACCTACCTACTCACAAAAATTTTTTTACCTGATGATGACCTTTTAGGTCGAAAGCGCTTGCAACCCAACCTAATAAATTTATGTGGTCGACAGACTTTGAGCCTTTTACTTCCCTTTAATAATATTAATACCAACAATAATACAGCTGAATCCCAATATTCTGAACCTGTAGGTACTTAAAACAAGTATCAGCAGCAGACAAGAAACTGATATAGAAACCAATCCATCAACATCTTCAAGTTCCGCTGAAAATAAGAAATCAACACCTTCAAAAATAAATTACCAAAACGGAAAATATGACAAAATTTGTTTGTTTTGATGCGCTAATACGTGGTTAAAATTATGGCACTTTTTTCTGGGACGCCCTATATATAGAACACCTACAGTTATGTCTTCCTGCTAGTGGAGTATAATATGTATTATACCAATAGTTGCCTTATTCAATTTTTTTAATTAAATAATGTAAAATTAAAAGCATAACGGAACGTATCTGAGTTTTTATAAAACCTGACAATTTCAGATCCAAAAGGCGTGTAATAAAAAACTGCAAATCTATCGGAATCGGTACGCGGAAAATTGAAGTAACAACCCAACACGACTCGTAACTTTTCATTGAAATAAAGCTGTCTTCCATGTCGGAGAAGATAAAGCTAATTCTATCGTGATTTCCTAACAAATTAAACTTACCCTTTTTGGATGTCCTGAAACTGTCGTCCCTTGGCACATATTGGATGTCATAGACGAGAGTGGTATTAGGCAACAAATCTCTGTCCTTGTTTATCTTGTAAACGGCGTATTTGAAAGCGAGCTCGACGCTGCTGTTCTTTTGATCTTCGGTGAAAATCGCCCCTGGAAATAATGATTTGTATTTAGTCATTTTTCATATTGGCGTGTGCAGAAGTACAATAATAGTACAGTTGTAGAAGATACTTTGATTTGCGAATAAAATACGAGATATATTAATGAAACAGCATTATACAGGGTGTCTGTAAAAGGTCTTTACAAAAACATACCACATATTCCCTAGACCAAAATAAGTCGATTTAAGTAAAATTACCTTAGTACAAAGTTGCTTCGTTTGGGCTCCAGAGGGCCTTAAAGTTACAATTTTTAAATCGTTTTTCCCATATAAATTTAAAACGGTATATGCGATTTTGCTGAAATTTGGTATATTGGTAGAGTTTTATGTGGCAAAAAAATGGTATTAAAATTTTGTCCGATAATAATACATAGGCGTAGAACTTGATTTTTTAAATAATTGCACCTTTAAAAATTCAACGCCAATGGAAGAAAAGGAGTTTGAGTATGAAATTTAGATTGCGCAACTCATTTACTTTAAAAAAGGTACTCTTGATAAGACTCAATTACTCTCATGGTTTTCCCTAAATTTCTGTTTTAATAATTTAGAGTGTATAGGTTTCACAAAACTATTTATTTACAACATAATCAAAAATTGTTCAAAATGTTCACCATTTTCACGCATACAAAGATTTATACGTCGAAGAAAATTAAAATGTATCCTTTCCATAACTTCTTCATCACCTCTAAGATTGTTTATTGCATCTTGAATACGTTGCCAGAGTTGTTCCTCATTTTCTACAGGTTCCCTGTAAACTGTGGATTTCAGATGTCCCCATAAAAAATAATCCATTGGTGTTAGGTCTGGGGAACGTGGTGGCCAGTTTACAGGTGCGTCATTGCCTCTGCCTATCCATTTGTGTGGATATTGTTCATTCAAGTGGTTTCTAACGTTTAAAGAAAAATGTGGTGGCGCTCCATCTTTCATAAACCACATATCTCTCCGAAGTTGGAGAGGTAAATCTTCTAACAATTCTAGCAACGTATTTTGTAGAAAATCCAAATAATTTTCTCCAGTTAATCTTCGTGGAAGTATGACAGGACCAACAATGAAATTACCAATTATACGTTCTAAAATGTGTTCTTCAACTTCAGGAATCCTTACAAAACGTTCTCTTCCATTATCAATAATGTTTGGAGCAAAGGAACCGGTCTCCCGAAGACGTCTCTTAACAGCAGGAAAAGTTGGGTGGCTAGGTACACGACGAATTGGAAACCTTTCAGAGTACACCCTGACACTCTCTCAAGCATTTCCTTCACAAAATCCTAATGTCAGTAACATATCGGTATATTTTGTATTGGTATATTGTACAGCCATATTAATAAACCACGCATTTGTTTTTTTAATTATTGAGTCAGATAGAACACTTTCAATCGTTAACAAGAGATTAGGTGTTAAAACTTGACAATATTTTTATTTAGATGAAACTATGGAAACCAACAATAAATATTTTTGTATGCGTATTGCAGGCAAATAATTAATATTCCTCAAAAAATCGTACATGGCAAGAACCGAGTATTTTTGTTAAAAGTCTCGATTAGAGGTGTTGAAGAAGATATGAAAAAAGTACATTTTTATGTTTTTCATCGCATAAAATTTTGTCCGATAATAATACATAGGCGTAGAACTTGATTTTTTTAAATAATTGCACCTTTAAAAATTCTACGCCAATGGCATAAAAGGGGTTTGAGTATGAAATTTGGATTGGGTACTCATTTACTACAAAAAAGTACCCTTGATAACACTCGATTTACTCTCATAGTTTTGACAAAGTTTGTATTTTAATAATTATTGTTTATGTTCTAAAATTACTAAAATGCAAATTTCGTCAAAACCATGAGAGTAATCGAGTCTTATCAAGAGTACCTTTTTTTAAAGTAAATGAGTTGCGCAATCTAAATTTCATACTCAAACTCCCTTTCTTCCATTGGCGTAGATTTTTTAAAGGTGCAATTATTTAAAAAATCAAGTTCTACGCCTATGTATTATTATCGGACAAAATTTTAATACCATTTTTTTTGCCACATAAAATTCTACGAATATACCAAATTTCATCAAAATCGCATATGCCGTTTTAAATTTATATGGAAAAAACGATTTAAAAATTGTAACTTCAAGGCCCTCTGGAGCCCAAACGAAGCAACTTTGTACTAAGGTAATTTTACTTAAATCGACTTATTTTGTTCTAAGGAATATTTGGTATGTTTTTTTTACAGATATTTAGATAAATATTTAGATAAATACGTTTTAGATCTTTTTCAAAAGTATACTATGATTAAAAAAGTTTTGTTTTATTGATAATCCGGTAACAACAAAAAACCTCCTATCTATCAACAATTATTCTAGTTTTAAAGTAATGCTTTCTCTCTATATTAGGTAATTTTTCGATAATACAGTGTATTCGCGTATTTGTGACAGCCGCGTAATTGGGGCACTTTCTTTTTATTTAAATTATTGACAAATTCATTTCAGATGACTGGCCTATTTAATCATAACAATCCAGATAACCTTGTAGATAAAACTGTTGTTAAAGAATCAATCTTGAGACCAAATGATCTTCAAGAATATTTCAAGAAACAAATTACAAAAAATGCTCAAGAGGAAGTTTTACCAGTTCGTGACGTTGAAGTTTGTTATGTAAGCCTGCTCTGTTAAAAGGGTACGAAATTGCCAAACTCGCTGAAAGATAAATAAAAACAGATTTGATTCACATAGTGTGAAGTTGGCTTTATTTTTCTTAAGATGTTAACCTCCAATTCAAATTAACTTGTCAAAGTTGGAAGATATGAAAAATATAAAATATTTTATAATATAATATCTAAAATATTACTGTATTCAATAAACAAGATGTTAGAGGTAGTCCCTTAAAATATTTCCTACAATAAACACCCTCTAGACGAATGGTTACTCCGGTTCACGTCAAGTACTTGTCGCTTACAAAATCCGGCAAGACCCAGAGGTATGCAAATGTATCTATATAAATATTTAATGAAATAAACCCCGTAAAACCCTAAATAGGGCTCAAATCACAAAAACTACTAAACAGAGACCATCTTACTTGAGGATCCGGGGTTTTGCTGTTGAAATAACCACACTGGGTATCCAGATATCCTACGACTGGTTATGAGGGTAGATTGGCAGCAAACGGTAGCCTAACAAGAAATACCCTTGTCTCTGGGCGACTTCTTTGCTAGCGGCGAAGCGGCAACAGCTGATGGTCTGCCTATTGAATGCCGCAAAAGCCAGGAAACTTGCACGCAGTTTGTATCTATACTATACTCGAGTTTAGATTAGTGATAAAAATATAGAAAATCACTAACCACTAACAAATTATATTTAAACAAAGTTTTAGATAAGGTAGTAACAAATTCTAATTCACATGGATTTACTCAATTCAAATTTAGATGATTTATTGAAAAAAAAAAAAAAAACTTATCTGTTGTAACAGGAGGTAGTTATATTAGGAGTGTGATTTGCACGGTATACTAGGCCTTCTTCAAAGGGATTCTGGATCCTTATTCTTAATTCTGGACTTAAACGATGTGTCGATCTTCTATAGGTGAACCAAACCTCGGTCTTCAGATTGCACTAATCTGTTAGGTATAAAACCATAAACTTCTTGACATAGAACCAAATAAACTGTTTAGATACAAATTTCCATAAAATTCTTGATATAGATCTAAATAAACCGTTTAGATACAAATCTCCATGAACTTAAATCTCCATAAACTGTTTTAGATATAACTTGAAATAAACCGCCTAGATATAGCCATGCTAAAAGGAAAAGGTAAAAATGTTAAGAAAGGAAATAGGAAATTTGCACAGGACCCAGATAAAATGCCTTTAACCAATAAATGAACAAATTAAAACTATTAAGTGAATAATTTCACAGAGACTAAAATTAATATGAAAAGGAAAAATCTTATTTAACATATTTAAACATAGAAAAACATATTTTACTCCAAATAAAATAATATATAAAATTATATAAAACGTGTTATCCATTGTTGATAGGTATTGAGGTTATGTTTAAAAATTTACATTTCATTTAAGAAATTCTTGTACAAAATATATATTTTCAGTAGTAATACTATAAGTACTTCAAAATAATCAGGTTATACATCGATAACTTGTTGCATAATTATAAAGAGTGTCAGTTTGACAGTTTAAATAATCCGACCGCGAAGCGGGAGGATTATTCTGTCAAACTGACACGATTTGTAATTATGCAGGAAGTTTGAGATGTATTTATTTTGAAGTACGTATTGTTAGTTAGTGTATTGTTGTCGATGTGGTTACTACGGAAATTATTGTAAATATTTTTGATTGGTGGAGCTACTCTATGTATAATCAGGTATTATCGAAATTATACGAGGTAACTTAACTAAATTGAACGTTCTAATTGGTTAAAAGTTATACGAACAAAATAATCAACAATATATCGGTAATAAACCTTACCTTATAAAATCAGACGGAATATACGATAGATAAAAATTATTTAGTACATCGGATGATCCAGATATTTTGAAATGAATCTGATCTGGTTGATATATTCGAATCAAGTGAAATATGAACTTTTGACACAAGGCATAAACGACAAATGACATTAGAGTAGAGATGTTTGTGTTAAAATAACGAAAACGGTTCCAACCGTTACAACTTATTGAAGATCTTCAAAAATAAAACGAAGCAAAGAAGGAACAAACGAACAAAGGAAGGAAGGAGATCTGAAAAACATTGACGAGTGTAACTATATGTAAACAGAAGGCTGTAGGAAATATATAGGTAAGTAAAGAGACATAATTAATTTAAAAACTCACCCTTGGATGTTGTGTGACCTCTTAAGTTTTCACATATGCAAATAATAAATCCACCACTTGGTGTTTAAATCCCAACGATTAATTAAATAATTATCTAACTGAGTAAAATGTATTATTTTTAGCTGGAATGAATCCTAGAAATACCTAGACGATATTTTAGCACTTGCTACAATCAATTCCAAGCAAAAAACTGGGCCAGGAAGGAAGTTCCACAAAATGGCAACAAAAGTCAATGTCTTACAAAGGCCCTGACTACCAAAGGTTCATAGGATAATTTCTGTTAAAACTGTAGTCACTATTTATAAAGTTAGAAGAATTTAACAATTGAAGGGGGGTCAAATTAGACATGAAAACAATAACAAACCAAATTAAAGTTGTTTAATATTTAAAAGATCTGTAGTCATTACTCGAAGTAGCAAAATATATTTACTTAGACTATAAATTATTATTTATTAAATGTACTAAATACTATTGATAATAACCCAGGTAAGATTATATTTTAATGCAAAATACTGTTTGATAAAAATGGATATTTTATGAATTTATACTCTGGATTTATATACCGTACAATTTTAAATCTATATACTTTGATGTGAATAGATTTGCACAGGTATACTAGCATAGGTATAGATTAGGGTAGAGTAGTAACTAGGGTAGAGTAGTAGAGTAGTAACTAGGGTAGATTAGAGTAAATCAAAATAGATTAGGGATCAAATAATGTACATAGGATAGGATAGAATAGAATTTAGAGTATGGTAGGATGGTGTATATAGTTAAGAGTAGAATAATTTAGGGTAGTGTAGTAATAGTACTAGATTACACTAGTTTAGGATATGATAGAGTAGTCCAAGATAGGGTGGTTTAGTTAAGAGTACCTTAGAATAATTTAGAACAGTGAAAAATAGGGTAGTTTAGTCTAGTTTAGTTTGGAGTAGCTTAGAATAAGATAGGCTAGTAAATAAAACAAGTTAGAATAGTGTAAATTAGGGTACTAGAATAGATTTATGTAGAATAAAACCAGTAACAAGTTGAAGGGGAAAGAAACTAAGGGTCAAGAATGGACTCTAAAGAAGATATAGAACTGGTTCCTTCTACTCGTAAAAGCCCAATTCCTTGTACTAGTAAAGGCCAATTATCTCTTTTGAATCTCTGCTTATAGACAAGATTGAGAAAGAAAATAAAGACGTGAAGAAACGCAAAAAAATTAGCAACAATACCGCCGAGATACTTACTAGAGAAGATTATTTATTACAGTTGAAGAAATAGAGCGTTGAAAATAAAAATGTTACAAGAAAGAAAATTGTTGATCAAGATTTAGAGAGCGAAATAGAAACTGAAGTTGAAGAAATAGAACACGAAATATCAAGTAGTAGCCACACCGATGAATTTCTAACTCTTAAACATTTAGTAGAAAATGAACAAGAGGAGTTAAGTCATGAAAAGGAACTGGAAAACCCTAATGACGTAAAGGAGGGTAGCTCGGCACTAGTTGATTATAAAACAACCAAAATTACGAGACGGTATATTGGAATTTTCTACAGAAGAAGATAAGCTATTGGTTAAGTTTTTACGAAAAAAGAGAAATAATGTATTTGTTTGACCAATTTCTGAAGATATAGATAGTGTGTCCACTGAGGGAAGACCTTAATGTTTATTAACTTTTTTTATTATTTTGCCCTTTTTGTTACAAAACAAAGATGTTTTTTAGTTTTGTCTACTTGGGTATAAATATTTTGTTTCATATTTATAGAACAAATACTAACTTTGTTATAAAATAGATATTTTTTATTTTTATGTACATACTCTTATACATAGGTATTATTATTTTGTTCCTGATTTGTACTGAAAATACTTATTTTGTTATAAGACACAGATTATTTTAGAATCATGTACAAATTAGTGCTAATTCTTTTATAAAACATTAAAGTTTTCTTTTCAAATATTTTTTAATTTTATATTTAGACCATTAAAATAAGTCACAATTAATACTACCAAGGTTTATGGATATAAATGTTAATTTTAGTGGTGTGTTATAATTAAAACCAAAAAGTGTCACAAATAGAATTTTTGTAGGGCAATTGTGACACCTGACATTGTTTAAAAAAAAATCAAATTCCAAAAAATGTATACATATTTTCCAATAAAAGCATTAATATCTGTATTGAATAGGTAAGTAAGATGATTGGTTAGAAGCAAAAATTTAGGCCTTTGTATTACTTTTAACAAATTTACAGGTTTTTTTTTTCTGAAAAAAAGAAGCAATCTATATCACAAATACCCGAATGCACTGTACTTCTTTTTGTTGCATTAAAATACATTTTTCTTACTAAACCGTTTTAACGCAACTTTGGAAATTCGATTTTACTTGAAGACGTGTAATAAAGTTATTATAAAACAGAAAAAAATGAAGAAAAAGATCTCATCTTATTGAGAATACGATTTTATCGAAATCAAAGAGAGCTTTTGAGTAGAAACAGGTATTTTATTCAAGTTTTCATAGGAATCATTTTTAATATAAAGGTATTTTTTCACTTCGAAAAACACTTTGAGCAAATACAACTTTGAAAATAAGAAAATAAAATAATTTTCAATAGGAATACATAAATAGATGTATACAGGGTGTTTCATAATATATGCGCAGGACTTCAGGACGTGATAGCTCGTCCAAAAATATGAAAAAACGTTTCTATTAACTTACCCTCTAAAATGCACCATTTTCGAGATACAGGGTGTTTCTACGCCACTGGAAAAAGTACGGTTTTGAGACGGCCATTTGAACCGCCAATATTTTCTACACAAAAAGGTACTCTTTTTTTTAATTTTGAAATACATGGTCATACATACTTGATGAAACAAAATTTGATTTTTCTTAAAAACGGTCGACTTTAAAGCGTATGACCAAGAGTACCTTTTTTGTGTAGAAAACATTGGCGGTTCAAATAGGCGTCTCAAAATCGTACTTTTTCCAGTGGTGTAGAATTTTTTTTTTTCAATTTCAACACCCTGTATCTTGAAAATGGTGCATTTTAGAGGGTAAGTTAATAGAAACGTTTTTCATATTTTTGGACGAGCTATTACGTCCTTCGCATATATTAAGAAACACCCTGTATACCTAGTCTACAATTTAAAAGTTCTCTTATTTAAACATTTTCTGTATTTAATTGCAATGTCAAATTTTGTAGGATGGGGCAACTCGTATGGACAAAATGAAGAAGGTGATTTAGTACCACTCCAATTAACTGATTGGAACTCTAAGATGACCGTTGCAGGTTGTTTGGATTTTAATACACCTAGATATATTTTTATCATCATTCAAATTTAATAACATTTCCAAAAGAATATGCCGTAATTTTAAGGAAAATATGTCAAGGAATTACCTTTTTCAATATTGATATCAGACTGAGAAACACATATTTTTATAACCACTACAATTACATACTCCCAAAACTAAGTTAAACAAAGTGGAGTTAATTCCCACATGACCTCCTACGTTCTGCTGACTTTCTGAAGTCTCCCCTCGCCAGTTTAAATACATGTACTTACCACGGTCTTTATTCAAAATAATTATCCCAGTTGTCCCGAGTTACTTCCCGCAGTTATTATTCAGGCATTATCGACATCATCTTGAAACTTCAAAATTCCTTGAACCCAAGAGCCGGTTTGACTCAATTATTAGTGGATTTGTATTGAACTTGTGTGCACTTTAGTATTGAGAGTTTGGAACTCGGTTTTCCAGAAATTCTCAGAGTGCTGCCAACACTCTCTCTCTCGGGATAATTTGATCCCTAATAGAATGAGATTATTTTGTACTTGTTACGTGATAACTGCGAAATATCTGAGAATAGAATCTTGTATGAGGCTCGAAAACGTTGTCAAGTTGTCGAGTAAACTTGTCTGTACGGATTAATCATGTATATTGTGTAATATTAGTAAAGCATACTGAAAAACGATGAATCTTAATTTTGTATGGTTATTAATTTGTAATGTAGATTTATAATTAATTAATTTAATTAACAATTGTAGTGACTCAAATGCACTACATAGAGCTTTATTATTATTCGTAGGGTATACTACTATTTTTAAAACAGGCCAAAAATAAGTACTTTCCGGTTTATTTTTAGGTCAGAAAATCTCATTTTGTTGGACCGAGCCAGAAAATTATTGTGATAGTCCGGTAAAAGCTTTTACCGGACTCATTTTCATTTACTTTCCGGCCTATCTTTAATGAAAAAAATAATAAAATAGTCTAAGATAGCAGTCAATTGGTTTCTATAGTAACCGAGTTTTGTATTATTTAAAACTATAAAATAACTTGACATATTTTGACGTTTAGTTGAAAACGTGACATTTATTATTATAAAATGGATATTCAAAATGATGCATTTGATTGTGAATTAATGGAAGATGAAATTATACCAGATGAAATTGTTAAGGCGGCCACCCAAGCAACGTTTGATTTATTACCGTCGAAGTCCTGGACACGATAGATAAGTAATGCTAATAATTGTACGTTTAATATAACTAATCAAAAATAATATTTATATTCGTAAACCAAAAATTAACGATTGTTAAAAAAAATTGTTAAAATTAGTTAATAAAGAGGTCTTGTTATAAAAATGCAAACTGAATAATATGAAGTTTATGGTACAACAATGCCCGTTTTAAAAAAATATTGTACGTAATACGTCCCAAAAGTGCTTTTACTGGACTCGCAGGCTGCAATTTGCCTACTTGTCCAGTAAAAGACCACTTTCGGGACTTGTTACGTAAACTACTATTACAATGCGCAGAAATCAGATTGAATTTATAGGCAGTAGGCGTGGTTACAGACCTTTCAGACTCGCGTATCGGGGACAACCCTATTGATTTGTAGTGCGCATAATAATTTAATAATAATCTTTATTTGCATCAATTATTACAATTAAACTTAAATTCAACATTTCTAAAAATACAAAATTAACACAAACGAAGAAAACAATTACCACAAAGCCAAAGCTTTCTGAGGACTGGGTTTATTTGTTTATTTTATTTTTACATTTTTAAGTGCATTTTACTAACATGATATATTTCCACATTCTTTAATTTGTTTTCACAAATCAAAAAATTTGTAAATATCCTTCCTTGGTATATTTATTAAAAGGCATTTAATTTTTTTCCTAAAATAAAATACCGAATAAGTTGAGAAACCTATTTCCTTTGGTAAAAAAATTTAAAAATCTAGGTCCCAAAAACATAAAACTTTTATGCCCTATTGTTTTTTTGGCAATTGGTATCATTAATTTTCCGGAATCCTTACTTCTAGTTTTATGACAATGACATATGTATTTTAAATCCAACGAATATTTTTCTTTAGTTAATAAACATAACCCCCTTAAGAAAAATGTTTGTCTTAAGTCTAGAATCTCTGCCTCTTTATAAAGAGCATTTTGAGAGTAAGTTCTATTTTTCTGAAGTATTATTTTTAAAAATAATTTTTGGACTACTTCTAGCTTTTTTAAATGAGTATATGTTACTCCTCCCCATCCTACAATTCCATAGGAGAGGCGAGAATCAACCAATTCATAATATAGTGTTTTAAGTAAAGATAAGTTCAAAATTTTTGTTAAAAATTTGAATTTTCCTAGTAATGACCTAAGAGTTTTTGTAACACTAGTAATATGATAGTCCCAACGGAGATGGTTGTCATCTGTTTGTTTAATATTTATTAAGTTACCATGATTGTTAATTTCTAGCTTGTTGTAGTTAGAAAGATTATTTTTATAGCTTGTTATAGGTAAAAACATAGTTTTATCGAAGTTTATTGTAAGCAATTTGTAATTAAACCAATCTATGATATTACTTATATCTTTTTTAATTTTTTGTTTCAGACCTTTTCAGGTGTTTGCAGTATAAAAGATGATAGTATCATCAGCAAAGCTTGTTATCTCTCCAGAAGTTGTAAGTGTAAGTAGATTATTAATGTATATTGTAAAGAGAATGGGTCCAAGAACTGTCCCTTGAGGAACGCCACATTGAACAATCCTTTCCGAGCTTATACTATTATCTATTTTAACACACTATTTACTTCCTATTATATAAGATTCGAACAGTTTTTGTGCAACTCTTCGTATTCCCACATCCAGCAAAGAATTTAACAGTTGCGAGTGATCCACATTATCGAACGCCTTTGCAAGAACGAAGAATACCAATATAGCCGGACAGCTGCAGTCAACAACCTTATATAATTTTGTTGTCTAATATTGCATGTTCTGTAGAGATACCTGTACGAAACCCAAATTGTTTTTTAGAAATAATATTATTATTGTTTAAAAATGATTCTAATCTTATCTTTATTACTTTTTCAAAAATGTTTGAGAAATTGTTTATTATAGAAACAGGTCTGTAGTTAGTAAAAGTTTGTTTATTTCCCTTTTTATGAAGAGGTTTTATAACTGCAGACTTGAATTCTATCGGACAAATTCCATTTTCTATAATTAGATTAATAATAGAGCAGAGTGGCGAAGAAAGTTCTGTACAAATTTCTTTTAATGTTTCGGCAGTTATATTGTCTA